CCCCCCCCCCCCCCCCCTCCCCCCCCCCCCCTTCTAAAGGCTGAGCTCATACTCGTGCTGTGCCCCATGCTGGATGTTGAAACCGCATACTATGGTAAAAAAAAAATTCAATTTCAACGTGGATTCTTGAGCAAAGTATGAACTCGGCCCGACACAGCGAAGCGGAGAATAATGAGGGAGGCGGATCGAAGGCCGCGGAATCGAAGCCAATTGGCATTAGAGGCCTCATCTCAACGGTGGCGCCGAGTCCACGTGCGATCAAGAGTCGCACCGCCGGAAGGATTGCGAGGGTGACGAGGGAACCCGGAAAAAAGAAATTCAATATCAACGAGTTGGATTATATTAACATTTTGTGTAGAAATTCGGAATAACGTGAATTCCGTCCGTGGCAGTTGACTTTTCATTTTCGATTGTGCCAATCGATTTTTGCTACATTGCTGTAAAGGGATGCTGAGGCGACGCAGTTTTGCCGCCTTGATTATATTAGCTGGATTATGGCTGGATTATGGCTGGATTATGCCTTGCATAATCCAGTGCATCCCATGAGCTACTTATCGACTTTGTGAAAGCAGAAAAAGCTTCAATATTTCGCAGGTGAAGGGCGAACAATGTCGTGACGGTCGACTGCCAGGAATAGTCACAAAAAAAAAAATCGAATCCGAATTAAAAGAACCCCATAAACTCCCGCCTTCCGTGCGTTCGTGGGGAATCAGTAAGTGAAACCCGCAGTGAGACCCTGAGCGTACAGAATTCCGTCCATATCGTGTGGCGGGTCCTTGAGCCGAGGGGGGGAGGCAGGGAAGGAGGAGGACGGAGAAGGAGGGCATGATGTATTCATGGGAGCCGGGGAGGTCTATAATCACGTCATTGGAGGGTCCACGGAGATACACGGTCACGCCATCACGGCCAAGGGAATCCCATAATAAGCATTCGTCATTTTTCGAGATCTGGAATGATCCTTCAAGGACGTTCGTCGATGGGCGGTCGAGGGCGCGCGTGGATTCACGGCTGTTTTGTCAAGTTCAAGGATGTCGCCTTATAATGCGGGCCTTCGATCGTCGCTCTCACGGAGGGCTTTTCCGACTCCGACCGGAAAAGGGAGGATTTTTCCAGTCACGAGATATCCTCATCCGAGGTTTCACGGTCGAAAAATAAGCTTAATTATCCCGGAACAAAACCCTCGGGAAGTGACCACGGCCGTTCGTCGCATTTCCAGTCCATTCAACGCCATGGGAGGAACTCAGTCCACGTCCGAATTCGAGGGCGATCCGAACGTCCCCGATGCCCTCGGCCTCACGGCCAGGAATAAGGCGGCCATCAGGAGCTCGTTCAAGTTGGTCCAGGAGGACTTGAAGGGGAATGGGCATCGGTTCTTCTGCCAGTGAGTCTTTTGCGCTTTTTTCTTGCAATTTGTATTATTATTTTCTTTTGGGATTTGTGCTGCTTGGAATCGAATTGCAACCGGATGAGATCCTTTGTAGAGCAATCCATTAAAGGACCTTGACCTCAAGGACATCGTCCATCCGCGTTCATTTTTTCGACAGCCTGTTCGACACCTTCCCGGAGTTCCAGGACCTGTTCGTGGCCGTGAGGGGCGTGGCCCCCGAGGAGCTGAAGACGAGCAAGAAGCTGGCCGCCCACGGGCTCTTCTTCATGAGCGCCGTCGAGGCCTTCGTGGCCAACATGGAGGAGCTGGAGGTCCTCGAGGAGCTCCTGCGGAAGATGGCCGCCCGGCACAATCAATTCGGTCTTACCAAGGCCGATTACCAGGTCCTGGGTCCGAAATTATATTATATAATTTAACTTAAACTTTCACATTAAACTTCATGATTTAAATTTAATGTGATATTCACTTTCCTTTGATTTGATTTGAAATTTTATTTATTTAAGCTTTTATGTAAATTGTTATTCTTTTTTCTTTAATTTGCATTTTAGTGCAAATTTAGTTCGATTTTGCCCCCAAAAAATTTGTTCAATTTATTTTGATTTTACTTCAGATTAATTTTCGTTTCCTACCGCGCTGAACAGAGAGCGACGAAGCTGTTCGTTGAATTCTTCCTCTCCATGCCCGAAGTGGAGAAGCTGGACGTGAAGAGAGACTTCCTCCTCGAGTCCTGGCATAAGCTGTTCGCCGTGGCCGTGGATGTCATCGCGAAGTACATCGTCCCCTTG